TATTTAAAAAATAAAAAATATAATATATTTAAAATAAATTTCCTAGATAGTGTAATGTATAGATACATTGCATCATACAAGCACTTTAGTTACAATTGCTTTATAAACACTGCAAAATTAAGTTCACCTGAACCATTTCCAATCTCAGAACTTGCTGTATTGATTTATTTATTTTTCAGTATGGTTTGGAAATAAAATCTCTGTTCACCGAGAATATGCTATATCACAAACATTTGCTCAATCCACTAACTTCAAACTTAGGAAGGTTCCTATAAAATCAAATGTAGCATATGACATTTAAGCTCTTTCAGTGATCAAATGTACCATGATAATTACTTTTTAAAAATTTATTTTTATTTTATGTGCTTGAGTGATTTACCTGATATATGTAAGTGCACCTGTGTGTGCAATGCTCGTGGACACCAGAAAAGGGTGTCGGATACCCTCGAACTGGAGTTACAGGTTGTTAGCCACCATGTGGGTACTGGGAGGCAAATCAGGGTCCTCTGCAAGAGCAGCCAGTGCTCTTAAGCACTGAGCCATGTCTCCAGCCCGTGATAATTACCTTCATGTTCCTTACTAAAATTTAAAGTATGCATTCATTTTTCACTTATTTGTAGTAACGTGTAATTTTTTAAAATTACCGTATAAATGAGTGGATTCCATTATGATATTTTCACACATGTGCATTATTGTAACCTGCTCAGTCATACCCCCACTATCCTTTCTTGTTTCTCATTTTTTCCTTTTGAGGCTCTCCTTTCTCCCCACTCCAAAATCCTCTTCTACTGTCATGTCACATATATTTGTTATTTTACTTTACTTTTAAAGTCTTTAAATTTAATTTTTTAAATTAGCATACAAAGTAATGGGTCTCCTTAGGATATTTTTACACCTTTAAAAATGCAGATTTTTACAAAGAAAGAAAATGTGGTATTTGTATATCCAACTACTTTGCTTAATGTGATGACATCCAGTTCCATCCCTTTTCCATTGCCATAATTTTGTTCTTCTTCATGGCTGCAAAAACTCCATTGTGTATACACACCCACATTTTTTTAAATTTAAGAAGCAAAATATTGTGGCTTAGATCTTAAAACCCTTTCCCTTCTACAATGAGGTCTGGGTACAGTTTTCTGTCACTTTGTATTTTAATTAAGGGGCGTCTGATACAACCCGGATTACCTAGTAACCAATCTTGACTGAAGAGGAACAGATAAAGGCTCCCAGTTGCTTGAGACTTCCCTCACCTTTGCATGTCTTTCCGTCCTCTTGCAGGATATACCCCCGTGGGCAGGAGCACTGATAACTCCCCTCGGTGTTTTTGCAGATGAAGTTGCATGGCTTCGGAGACTGGGAACATTCATCGAGGTCTACATACAAGTAACATGAACATTAAAGGCCTGGTTAAAAGCACAAGCAGCCCCTCTCCTCCCTCTATCCTTTATGCTTTCTCTCTGCATCTTACAATGGAATATGGCCAGAGGCAAATGATGCACAGAACAGTTTTCTCTGCAGCGACATGCTGGTTTAGTTTGTAGATCAATGTGTAGATCTCGGATAAATCTTGTAATGTCTACGCAACTGTCTAGGTGCAAAAAAATTCCGCGGATTTCTTTATAATCGAAAGAAATCAGGCTACTTTACAACTTGAGAACTTAAAAGAGAGTTTTCTTCTCTTTTCTCAGGAGAAGGGCATGGAGAAAAGTCTTTTGCTCCCCAAACTTCCTGGGATCACAGAATTCACCAAAGCCACACCCCCTACTGCCCCTCCAGATCCACCCGCCCTCAGGCCCAGCCTTGCAGACTCCATCAGTGGACTCCTTGCCCTGCATCTTCCGGACTCTCCTATTTCCTCACTATGTTCCCTGCAGTGGAGGCTCCAGCTGGCTAAGCCATCGGATCCCAGATTGCAGCTCCCCTCAAGAGCACCCTCTGAGCACACTGTTCTCCTGCCTGGTTCTCATCACCATGCCCTGCCCTCTTTCTTTCATCCCAGGGATGGTGTTCTATAAGCTCCCATGCACTATCCTTTGTGCCTGTTCATGTACACAATCTCTTTGTTAGGCCCTGCTGGACCTGTCCTTATTACAGTTTGTCACCACTCACTGCCAAGCCTCTGACTGATAGGAGGCAATCTCCATTTCTTCTACAGAGCTCACTGGATCAATCCTCGCAGTATAGAGAAAGTTCTGGAGTAATAGCCTGACTCTGCTTACTTCCTACCTGCTCTTTCTACCAAGTGACTCAAACACTTACCAAGACTCCGTTGCTTTTCCTAACATTTTAATGCCAGGTGTAAAATAGGTTATTTAATGGGGTATCACGTGAGCTGAGACAATCTAGAGAAACAATTCTTTCCTTTAATAAAAACTAAAATATTTTGAAAATATTCAAAAAAGACTAGTGCCCAGCCTTCCAATTGTCACAGAATGGTGTACATCAGACAATACAAAAGTCAAACAAGAAAATAATTACAGAACATTTACAAGATTCCATATGGAGACTGATTTGAAATTAGACATTTTAGATAATGCTTAATTAGTACCCTTTATGCAGAAAATAGTGAAAATGCATTGTTCTAGACATAAACACAAAGACTCACAGGCAACTAACAATAAAAGCCTCTCTCTTCATCAATGAATGACAGGTATACATTTGTACATCTTAAAGTATAAGATGCATGTTTGTAATTTTTGTGTTTCCTGACTGAACAGCTATTTTTGATGAACTGAGCTCTGCACCCCACACAACTAGACAAAGGACAAGAACTGTGCTGTTAGGAACGTTACTAAGAACACTGGCCTCCTTCAGTGAAAGATACATTCCAAAGTTCTGTAGCCAAGATGCCTCAGATGCTCTGCAGACTGGAAGTGGTCTGCAGGAACAGGAGTTGGCAAACCCTGGCGTGCAAGCTCATCTCACCTACACAAGCTGTTCCGCTGATGTCTGTGGTGTAGCCCACCTTGCAGAAGCACCGGAAAGAACCCATGGTATTGACACACTGGCCATTGGTGCAGAGGTTTGGCATTACCGTACATTCATCAATATCTGTGGACCAAGAAAATTGAAGGAACTGAAATGAAATAACTGACAGTGAACATCCATAGACATTTAGGACTCTTCAGTTTTCAGGGGGTGGGAATGTAGAAGGGAAACAGACCATCTGAAGTGTGGAGAAAGGCAGACAAGTGAGGCCTGTGGAGGTTCCTTTAGGCCTACTCAGTTTGCACCCTAAGTATGAATTATTTTTTGTGTGACCTAGAAAGCCACCTCTCTCAAGTCCAACTCATCTGGAATTTGGGATAATTTACTATAGGTTTAGGTGTGCAATCCACATTTGCCTTAGACTCTGCAGAAAGGCCTCAGTTAGCAGCCATGCAGAGGACTGGAAACTGTACAGTGTTGGAGGAAATGCATTTTCCAGAACATCTGCATACTACTTGGATGCACAGAAAAATGAAAACCTCTAATTACTATGAAGTTTGTCAGCTAGGACGTTTCCAGAAAACAGAATGAATGCCTACCTGCATGTGGTAATGGACTTTCACAGTAGGGACATAATCCAGACTAATGACTTTTACCTAACTTTGCAACCAAAAAGTTATAATGCAAATAAGCTCACTGAGTTTTGTGCTGCTCTTGTCACCTGGGCACCTGACCTTAATCCCTCAGGACAGCTCCTTGCCTTCCACCAAAGACAGTGAGTAAATGTGGATGTCCATGATTAACATATCAAAGTGCTGCAAGCAGCATGTCTTTCTCCTTGAAAACAGTGAGAAGAATTGCGAGTCAGTATGTGTGTGTGTGTGTGTGTGAGAGAGAGAGAGAGAGAGAGGAGAGAGAGAGAGAGAGAGAGAGGGAGAGAGAGAGAGAGATTGATTTCAGGCTGAGGGATCAAAGGGCAAGATTCTCTGATAAGGGTGGATCCTACCTTCTACTTCCCCAATTCATGCTGGAGATGCTGTTTGAATAAAAGAATGAAGCCTGGCTTCCCTGAGACATCTGAAGGAACAGGCTCTCAGAGATTGAGCCTACTTTGGCCTTAAAATGAAAGCTGAGAGTCAGGCTGTTTCTTTATTCAGGTATAACTATAATGCAGCTTAGAAACACCACACCTGTACTCAGGTAAGCAATATTTCTTTAAACAAGACCGGTGTAGTTTGGAGGTTGTAAATATGGCCTTTAGGATGAGGTAGGTTTGTTCCATGCCAGGCTCACTATTCATTAAAAAAGTTGATCTTGGGAACATTATTATTATTACCTGAGTTCTGTGCTTCAGTTTTGTCATTCTGTTAAAGGGGATTAATAAATTCTACCTTAGGTATGATGTGAAGAATAGATCTCCTAAAATTTCTAAAGCATAGCCTGTGGGGATAGCTCTGTGAGTAAAGTGCTTGCATTGAAAGTATGAATGAAGGCGTTAGACCCCCAGAACATATGTTGAAAAACAAGGCAGGGCTGGGTGTGGTGGTGCACGCTTTTAAACCCAGCACTTGGGAGACAGAGGCAGGTGGATCTCTGTGAGTTCAAGGCCAGCCTGGTCTATGTAGTGAGCTCCAGGCCAGTTGGGGCTACAGGGAGACCTTATCTCAAAAAGACTAATAAATAAATAAATAAATTAATTAATTAATTAAAAAAATAAAAAAATAAAAAAAGTCAGCTATTGTGGCACCCTCTTACGGGGAGCTGAAGATAGATGGATCCTTTAGGCTTGGCTAGCCTAGTCTCCTTGTGGAGCTCTTCTGGTCTACACACACACACACACACACACACACACACACACACACAGAAACACACACACATGCACCGCACCAACAAACACACATTTTTAAAGCATTAGCCAAGAAGCCAAGAATGTTCTTTTGATTCATACATAGAACACAAAAACTCTTAAGTGTCTAAGATCTATTACTATTATCATTATCAGTGCATTCCCTTTTTATATTTCCTTTAAATTAATTTCAATGAAGGGAAATTCACTAGACTGACACAAAGCACAAAGTCCCTCAGCTCCTCACCTCTTCCATCAGTGGCATATCCTGGGCCGTGAGGACATATCTTTTTGTACTGGGCAGTTCCAGGAAGTGGGCAAAGCTCACACTGGTGGCCCCAGCCTCGCCCACCATCACAGCAGCATTCTGACTTTGTGACAAGATTGCGGCTGCTGGAGGCCATCTGACACATAGTCTGTAACACTTCTGCAAAGCATAAGCCCCGCCGATTATCTGCAATGGTACAGGAGGAAGGTGAGTCAAGGCTGAGGCGATGAAACTGCATCAACTGCATCATCTCAGGTTTCAAGTTAAATGAACAGCCAATACTTTCCTACTAACCAATAACATTTTGAAACAGGAATATTCTTTTCTATGAATAGTCTATATTTAATGATTATAAAGTTTTGTTGGCAGTTACATTTGCATTGTCCTTTTTAAATAAATTACGTTGACAAAAAGTGACACTATAGAAAGAGATTTATTTTTCCCTTTCATTTCAAACAAATGATAATGATGACTAAATTACAAAGAACTCCTTAATCCTATAGAACCCAAAGGGAAGGGTAACCAAATGAAATTATTTCCCTTCAAGTAAATAACTGACTGCTAGGACCTGTGTTTGAAAAAAATCAGTTCAGCACTATGTTATGAGCTTGGTACTTATTCAATTAACCTCTGGCATTTTCTACCTCTAAAAGGCTGGTCAAACATGTGGACTGGGTAGATTGTACAGAGCATATTAGTATAAATAAAGGGATTTCAGTGATGTGAACATGGAGAGAAATCTTCAGTACGGATTTATCTACCAGCTTCCGTAGTGAAACTGTAATATGAACAGAGGATGACGCTTTCCTTGTGTGCTACCTTTTCTATTTCCCAAAACTGATTATCAGTAGAGGGTTGAGACTGGAGACAACAGTAAACAAAATATATTGTCTTGACTACACTCTTCTAGGACTGGAAGCAGCGCATGGACATGAATCTGACCTGTTGGAAACATGCTGTCCTGCCCCATCAAGTCATGAGCTCTCTTCTTTCTCTGGTGGATTTAAACTGGATGATACCCTATTTCCATAGCTGTTGGAATTAATTGCAATAGGTACAATATACCCATTTCAGCATTGATCTAGTTAGTGCCATGAGGTTTACATTTTACTCAAGAAAATATTTTGTAAAACATTTTTCTGTACCATAATATAAAAATGAACCTTAATTGCATTTTTGAAATGTGGCATTTACTTTGTGTTAAGATCAGCAGCGCTTACCTCGCAGTGCAAATATTTTCTTTCGGAATTAAGTCACCTCCTGATGTAATTCTTACTAAAGTCACATTTTCCATAAAGCTTAATTAATATTAATTTTAGAAAGACTATTTCAAATTGTTATTTGCATTACACATATGCATGCATACAAGACACATGTGTATATATACATCATTTTAATAGATGCACACCTGTAGGCAGAGGTATGTAGATTACTTGGCTTGGAAGGTTTGTTTGACAAGAATGTATGTGTTGAGGTCTTCTGTGATGACATCATAAAACAGATGTTTTATTTATCAAGGAAAATACAGCTCCTACATCCACTTACCAAGGCACTCAGTGCCCGAGGAACTGGACTGGAATCCTTCGTTACACTCACATTTGTAGCTTCCAATAATGTTAACACAACGCCCATTTTCACAGATACCTGGCTTCGTCCTGCATTCATTTTCATCTTGAGAGAAACAAGTAATATGAATAATGAGCAGTACGTAGATAACAACAATTACTTGTCTTTGAGTGGTTACCTCTTACTAAAAACTTCTTTGACAAAATACCGGTAAGAAGGGATTGAAAACAGTTATGTGAATATTGCCTTCCACGTTCTTCATTCTTCCAGTGGGACAGATGGTTTCCTTCTTGACCCACCCCCTGTTGGAAGAGGGATGGTGTTTCTGTAGAACTAGAAAGGAAGGGAGAGGCTTGCCCCAAGGCATCTCACAAGGAGAGGAAGAATTCTGTGGCAGAGGAAGCCAGCTTCTGACATGCCTGGAGTTTTCAGATTACTGTTGCTTTCCTGCCATTGGCAATGAGAATACTCAGGAAAAGCCGAGAAATAGAGAAGCGCGATTTTCTTTTTTGGAACTTTTATAGGTCTTGGTGTGGTGCCACGCTACCTATGAAATTTTGCCTCCCAGCATCCACTTTGTCTCTGTGGACAATTTCTGGACTGGCGACTACTACTGTTCCCACTGTCCACTGCTCTCCCTGCTCCCTCCTACTCCATGCCTAGCCCAGTGTAGCACAACTGACTGGAGAACACGGCCCAGGACAGTTTTCATTTTCATTCATTGGTCTGAACTCAAGTGGGAATCTGGTCCTCACTGGGCAATCCTAGATGGTCCCCAGTGTGTTTATGCAGCCGAACACTGAGCTGTGTATGCCACTGCCCTACCGGCAACCAGGCTGTGTCGTCGCTTTCAGCTTTCCCCCTTTCACCAGCTTAGGTATTTTTGGAGTTTTCAAAGGCCAGTTCTAGCATTTGAACTTTGTCTTGACTTCCAAGATCTCAACTCTCCCTGCTCAGGAAATCACACCCTGGTATACATTCTCTAGTAACTTCCTTAAAAACACCAACAAGAAAACTCCAAACACCTCTCAGTGCATATGACAGCTCTAGAAACTGTCACATCTTACTCTCCATTAGGGAAAAACTTCTTGACAGAAGGATCTATTGTTGTCCACTCTGCCTCCTCATCTCTGACTCTTTGTCCCTTTACTGACACTTCCTGAAAAGGTGACCAAATCCAGTTGTTATGCTGCTGCCTATATCTGACTCTCCCATTCAGTAGAGCCTTGGAAAAGTGATTATTCCCTCCCTAGTTGGGGGACAGTTGTCTTCATTCCCAAGACACTGTGCTGGCCTACAACCTCCTTTCTTACTGTCGACTCTGTTTTAGCCTCCCATGGATGTTCAGCAGCCCTAGGTACTGGAGTGCCCAGAATTCGGCCGCTGATTTTCTTCTCTGTGCTCTCTCTTCTGGTGTTCGTATCAGTCCCATGATTTTTAAACAACATGTATTTATCAGCAATGTATACCTCTGCCTCGTAAATATGTCTACATGATAACGTTGGGTGGGGAGCTAAAATACATCTGACACTTCACATGGCCAAATGAGATTTTTCTTTTATTCTTTTGTGCACCTAACTATATTTGGTTTCTCTAGTCTTTTCCACAGAAAAGACTATTAAGTTATTCAAGTAAAAAGGTTGCTTATCTTTTATCCCTCCTGCCCTTCATCTGTCCTGTCCAGTGAATCGACCAGCAATCCTGTTTTGATTTTCTCCAGTATGTTCTGGATCTGTCCACTTTACTCTGTCCACAGACCACGGCTTTAATCTGAGCCTCTCATCTGCATGATTTTCAAACAGCAGCCTAAATATAACATCACCACTTCTGTCTCCTTAAAATACAGTACTTACAAGGTAGCCAGAGTTCCCTGAAGACCTAAGTTAGACTATAATAACACTAACATTTAACTGAAATTTTACTTTCTGCCCAGTACTGTCCTAAGTTAATCATGACAACAGTCCTGCGAGGTAAGTGTTCTCCTTCTTACCACTTGTTTTTACATAAGGAACTTGAGGCACAGTTAAGCCAACTTACTCAAGGTCACAGACTTAGCTGACTTGCAACTAGACTACTCATGTTTTTGTACATCTCTGGTTCATTATCCAATCACTTTTGCTTTCATGATCTTGCCTACCACAAAGCCAGCTTCTCCACTGTGGCTGCAGTGCCCTGGCCTGCCTTTTGGCCTCCCTCTGAGCCCTACTCCTGCATGAACTCCAGCTTCATTTCTGACCCAGGAACTTTCCTATTATTGTCATTTTTCATTCTATGCCACAGTCCCCATGTCACCTTGTTAAATCTTCAAACACACTCTAAAAGTATCTCCCACGCAATCATGAAATCGTATTTTCCTTACACTTTATGACACACAGTGTTGATTTGTTCATTTGTTCAAGTACTTTTCTCTCAGATCAGGAAAAAAGGGTGTGTGTGTCAGTTGTCTTTCTAGTTTATTAGTGTACTGCTAATGCCACAAACATGGTGAAAGTTTCATAAATATAACCCAATCAATGAACAACTCTTCTGCAGTGTTTTTTTTTTTTTTTTTTGAGGCAAATAATGTACTTTTTGATGTAGATTTAAATATTTTTCATTAGAGTTTATCTGACAAATACTCAAATGTATCTTAGTATTCTTCATTTGTATTTGTTTAATTTCTTTTTGGAGGAACTCGATTGATAAACATATTTAGATACCCTTGTCTTCCATTTGTAGCATTTATCAGTCCCTTCTATGTCCACATTTCTATATTGTGTGTGCAGGTCCAAGTATGCATACATTTGTGTATGTGTGATGTGTGTGCCTGTGCACATGGAGGCCAGAGATCAATTGCAAGGGTCTCCGTCTACTGCTATCTGCTTTATTTTTTGAGACAGGGTCTTTCACGGAACCTAGTAGGTTTTACTGTTCTGGATAGTCTGGCTCACCCCCATGCCCCAAGAATTCCGTTTCCACGTCTTTGGTGCTGGTATAACACGTTCTCATGGCTGAGCCCAGCTTTTACATGGGTGCTGGGGGTTAAACTCAGGTCCTCATGATTACACAGCCATTTCTCCAGTCCCTCAGTTCTACTTTCTATTACTTCTGAAGTGATTTTAATTTGTGACAGATGTATTTCTTGCCTGAGCTTTGCTAGATCATCATTAATATTGTGTTTTCTTCTCCATTTCAACATTTTAAAAAATGTATTTGGATTTTTATTTAATTATCTCACAGATTATTCTTCTCTTCCAAAAGTGTTTGAATTTTTAATCTTTTTCTCTACTCTGTACACATTACCTGCATGTTTGTATAAATTATTCATTTTGAACAGTTTTCTCTAGTAATTTGCTGAAAAAAATAGCATAACAGGTCACTAGGGTGAACTAGGTATGATCTATGGTCTCAACTCACATTTTTGAATGAACATTTTCCGTAAACCTGTCATGTTCTCTGTCCCTGGGGCATTACACTCTGTCAGATAATTTTAGAAGTCAGTCAACTCCGAGTAAAGTGTATTAAGTCTCTAGTGGCTGCTTTGTCCCTCTCCTTCCTACCGTGCTGCTAGAAGCCTCCAAGTCTAGACAGTTTGTCAGTGATTAAACAGCATGTGGCCAACCTCCTTCATCTTCGCCTCTGCTGAGAAATGTGGGACGGGACCTCCACAGAAGTACTCCTGTTTCCCTCCACTCTGTCCCTGACCTAACCAGACTGTTCGATGCACTTTTGAAAACTGAGTCCTCCAAAGTCTAACAGATAACATGCCACTGAACACCTGGGTTTTGTTTGAAATCTCACACTGTTTGAAAGATATCCTTCAAAGTCTGTTGTTGTGACCATTTCTTCATTTAAATCGAGACGGTCCAGTACTTATCCTCTCCCACTTTCCTTCTAAAACTTTCAAGACCGAGAAAGAAAATGTTAACGAGCCCCAAAGGTATTCTTGTTGGAATTTCAATAAAATTTAATGATATTGGTACATTTTTTTCTGGTTATTAGATTTCTGTATTCATTATTTGTTCAAGAAATGATTGCTTGATTATAATAAATTATGTAGTCGAGTCTCCCTCGCTGATTAATTTTACAGTTTTCTTTGCTTTTTTACATTTCCTATATTACTTCCATAGCGTGTCGTATTTTAAGTTTTTATTACAATTGACTTTTTGGAGCAATTTTCTTGGATCCCATTTCATATACATAGCCTTTTCATTTTTAAAAATGACTTTATCTTCTGTCCTGACTTCTGAAAACACTTTTTATTTATAATAATATTTTGGCCTTTTGTATGGAATTTCTAATTGTGAGAACAGACTGCAGCACGAAATCAAACTTCCACAGGGTTTTCCGATGCTCAAGAGCTTTGCAGATGTCATAGTTACCGACATGGTAGAATGTCAGAAAGCTGCCCAGTCTACACCTACATGCAGCAGAGGCTTTGGATTAACAAGCCTCCTTCTTTGGTCTCCAAAGTTCTAGTTGTGCTAGCATGAGCCACGCCACCATGCATGGCCACCATGCATGGCCTCAGGCCTAGAGATTTTATTGTACATTTTAACAATGAAAAATTCATATGTGCAATGCTGCTCTGAATCTTTTCGTAGAAAAAATGAGTCCATTAAGATCATAAAATATTAGGGCTGGAGTAGATACCCTCCGTCCTCATCCCTCCATCAACCACAGACTGTTTCTCACCATATACAGTTAGGAAATGGAGGAACGGAGAACTCACTCTCTTTAAAATTATTCGGCTCTTTTATGGAAGCCTAATGACGACCTTCTCCCCCAGGAAATGTGAATAAAACGGCATTATAATGAGAAATTGAGGTAGTTATGAACATCAGAAATTTTCCATGCATGCAAAGCAAAATATATTCCTAAGTGTTTCAGTCGGATAAACTTAGACTCTGAACATACATCCAAATTTAAAAAGAGGGAAACAGTAACAATGGTGCAATTTTCTATAAAATGTCACATTATCCTGTTCTTTTACCATATGTCTAGAGTTATTCCTATATGCACACATACACGTTTATGTTACTCATTTTGTATGTATTTCCTAGTATGAATACGCCATCATTTATTTACCCACGCTTCTGTGAGGAATGCTTGGTGGGTTTCATTCATTCATTTATACTTGGTACTAGAAACAGTATCCTACTGAACAGCCTACATTTCATTTCCTGTGGTAGACTCATCTTTTAAAAAGAGCTTTACTGAGGTATAATTTACAAGCCATAAAATTCCTAAGTGTACAATTCAATGGTTTTGGATAAATTGCAGGGTTGTGTGATTATCACCACAAAGTAAACTCATAACATGGTCATCTTCCAAAGGCGTCCCCAGGTCTACCTGCAGCCAGCCGCGTTCTGTTCTGACTCTCAGCAGCAAGTGATCATGAGTAGGTCCATTTTTAAGAAATCTTATTCCTATTTTGGCACTTTTTCAAAAGTAGGAAATTACTAATCATCTTTGCTTCTCTAAAAATATATCAATTTCAGTAGATAGTGAAGGTTGTTGAGGGAACAGAAGGTTCTCAGTTAAAAGTCCCCTCTTCTTAGAGGAGGAGGCTTTAGGCTGCTGTGGCCCAGGTGACAACACTGAAAAGAAGGCCTCAGAAAATGCCTATGGTAGCTGTGACGAGCTTGCTTGGAACAAGACTGGCACATACCTTAAAGTCATAGCTCTATCTCCTCCCTCTAAAAATGAGTTCACTGGGGCTGGAGAGATGGCTCAGTGGTTAAGGGCACTGGCTGCTCTTGCAGAGGACCTGGGTTCAGTTCCCAGCACCCACATGGCAGTTAACAACCATCTGTAATTTCAGTTCCATGGGAATCTAACACTCTCTTCTGCCCTCCTTGGGCATTGTATGACACAGGTGTGCTTATACACATGCAGACAATACACTCATACATGTAAAGTGAAACTATAAATAAAATGCTAAAAAATAAAAATGAGTTCAGTAAGACAAATATGTCGAGCAATGTGGGAAAGCGATAATGACACTGAACTGTTCTAGGAGACTGTCTGCTCCTTAGATAGTCTCCTCACTCACAGACAGATGCAAAAGTGAGACCATTAACCTCAAACTTTCATTTTGTTACATGAGTAAAGCCATTTCAAGGAGTTTTTCTATATTTTTGCATTATGTTTCAGACTTTCAGGACATAGGATCACACGTAATCAAAGGGCATAATTCTTCCCATCAGAATAATCACTGCTTCATGCCCAGAGCCTAGAATGCTATCTGGAGCACAGCCTGGCCTTGGGAAGAGGGCTGGCTTGCAGGTTGCTGTCTGGAGCAGTGCTCCACTCTTGGCGTGCAGTAGGGGCATTGTCTAAGCAGAGACCTTTCCTTGGAGCTTACCTGTGCAGCCTTCCCCATCGGGCCTGCGAGCCATGCCAGGGGGACAGATGCACATGAAGGTGCCTATCAGATTCTTACACATCATGCCTCTGGATTCACAGTCGTGCAGTCCTTCGGTACATTCATCCAGATCTACAAAACATTTATTCAAATGCTTATTAAAAAGAAGAAAACAGAAATAGGAAATGCTGTGGGACAATTTTCAGGTGTATTTTTGGTCTTCTGGCTCTTAACATGCTGCCGTTCAGTAGGAGAGAGAAAGAAGCCTAGTCTTTTCCAATGCTGGCTCTGCTCCAGATTTAAACTTTCAAAAAAATTTATTTATTATTTTGATTTTACATGTATGCGTGTATTGCCTGCATGTAGGTAAGTGCACCCGTGTTGTGCAATGCCCACGGAGGTCAGAAGAGGCTGTCGGATCCCCTGGGACTGGAGTTATGGACAGTTGTTAGCTGCCATGTGGGTGCTGGGATTTGAACCCAGGTCTTCTGCAAGAATAACCAATGTTCTTAACTGCTGAGCCATCTGTCCAGGCCCTCTGCTCCAGCTTTAGCACTGGTTCTAACAATGAGTTCAGGGCAGGGTAGCCTTTGCTTTAGTAAGAGGCCAGGAGCAGGACAGCCATGGGATCCTCAGCCCATCTCAGCATGCACACCGTCAGGCACCTTGCTCTCCAGCTCTGGAAATCTACAGCACTACACTGCTACATTTATTTCTACAAAGCTCTGGGAGAAGCCTGCTCAGAAGAAGGCGGTCACTAAAATACAGTGCATTCCAGCACTCACATCAAATTCCAATGCTTCTCTTGCTGTGGCCTTACCTTTGCACATTTTTTGGTCTTCTCTGAGGGCATATCCAACTGGGCATGTGCATTCGTAGGATCCAAAGGTGTTCATGCAGCGGAAAGCACACAGAAGTGGGTTCTGGGCACATTCATTGATATCTGATCAAAGAAGTAGACAGGCATTTGCTCATCTTGATGCTCCATTTATATACAGAAACACCAATGTGTTTACTGGGGTGTCATACAGAAAGTGACAAGATAAAATTTTTACCTGTTGTATATAAAATTTACTATCTGGCAAACTCATTCTCCAGTAAATTAACAGCTATATATTAGGAATAAAAACACTACCCGAAGTTTTAGAAATGAAGTAAAACTCAGATCTAATAGCCAGACATGATAGTGCACACCTTCAATCCCAGCACTCAAGATCTATGTGAGATCCAGGTCACGTTGTGAGTTCTAGTTCCAGCTGGGCCTAAGGTAGACGCTGTCTCAAACAAAGCAAAACAAAACACCACCCCCCCTCAAAAAAATCCAACCAAACAAACAAAAAACAAAAAACCAAACCAAACCAAACCAAAAAATCCTCAAAAACAAAAACCTAAACAAATAAACAAACAAGCAGAAACCTCAGAGCTAATGGCCAGCAAGGACTAACGCTAATTTCTACATTGGCTGGTCCCACCACCTGCTCTTCCTTCCCTCTTCCTCCCTTCCTTCCCACTCCCTATTAATTTTTGATATTATCCCACGGATGACCTGACAGTAGTAGCTGGTAGCTAAACCTAACATCCTATTGAGAAGAACTATCCTGTCCAGGAGACAGAACCTCGAGACCACCAAAGGTGCTAAAGCGTGAAGTAGACCCTGGAAAGGAGTGCCAGAGAAGAGAAAGAGCATGCCTGTTTTCTCGTTCATATACACAGTCTACACTGTTGGCTGTGTTATGCATTTGTGGGCACAAACCAAGGAAATCAGCTACTAGGTTTAAAGAGTCAGAAAGAACTCTGAGCAATTTCCCTTCATAGGTCTGACAGCCTGCCACCGTACCAACCTAAGTTACGTCAGCTAAGACGAAAGCATCAACATTCTTCAAGGTATTACAACTGACTCCAGAATGCATCATACCCAATATCCAGAACATAAGTAAAAATTAAGCAATATATTGAAAAGCCATGAAAATGTAACCCAATCTCAAGGAAAAGAAGAACAAGGGACACTAGCCAAGGTCTGAGCCAGGTGTTGGAATTATCAGACCAGGGTGTAGGGCAGCTACTGCAACTGTCTGAGGTAAAGGGAAGTGTACTGAGGATGGATGTGAGTATCAGAATCATTAGAGGTTGAAATACTTTTTAAAAAAACCCTTATATAGCCAAGAAAAATAATGCTCAAGCCAGGATCACTTGCCTTCACAGTTCATCATGGGACCTGGCTCAAAGCCTTCATTGCAAGTGCATTCAAAACTCCCAATAACGTTGGTGCATGTACCATTCCCACATGGATTGCCGATAGAACACTCGTCAGTATCTGAAAGAGAAGAGTACGAAAGTGCCAGCGACCCCACATGTTGCCAGGATCTGCAAAGGGCACGGTGACACCGACAGACCCTCCCCTTGGCCTTTGTCAAGGCCCCTGAAGGGTCATCTGATCCCGAAGGCAATGCGTTCCTTAAAGATCACAGATCCAAGAGATGAGTGGGCCCCTGATTAAGAGAAAGTGTGCAAAGATGTTAAGTAAAATGGATCTCTCCCAGTCATAGGCTCTGTCCACTTTAAAGTAGTTCTTTTAGTGATTGACTGACTGATTGATGCTGGGGCCAATTCCAGGCCTTGAGCACGGTAGACAAATATACTCTATCACTGAGCTGCATCCCAAGACATTAAAGTTGGAAAATTTCCTTAAAAGTAGATATTAGGAAACTCCATCTTCACGTAAACCAAGTTGCAGGGGGAGAGATGGAAGTGAAGCAAAGGCTGCTGCCAGCTGCTCATTCTGGTTTCGTAAGTCCCCCACCTTGTCCCCACCAAGGAAATTTGAGTCCTTTGGACCAAAAGGAGAAATAAAACAGAACACTTAAATTGCCTGATGCAAGCCAATACTCACCCACACACCGAACTCCAGTGTAATCAAGGTTGTAGCCCATGGGACACTCACATCGGAAAGACCCATCAGTGTTGATACACTGACCATTTGAACAAATGCCTGGGCTCTCAAGACACTCGTTGACATCTAAAGTAGAAAACTGCCATAAGCTTCCTCATATAGAAAGATATATCAGTGTATTCGTATCTATTAAACACAGATTTTAAACTAATGAAGCATGTAAATGCTCCTTTTGAAGAGATGTTTCACATATCCTTATAGTCTTTATGCTATATATGTGTATAATGTGTGTGCTTCATAAATATTATTTATACATTAAACATAATACGCAATAGTAGTAAAATTAACATGATTTACAAAGTACAGAAAATTTAATATATTCATATAAAGTGTGACGATAGGAATAAAACATCAAAGCGCACCTTCACGTGTATCATGAAGACTAGGCACCGTTCCGTGGCCATATGGACACAGGTCCTGGAATGCAACTAAACAGAAACACAGATTCTCCATTACTGAAGAGCTAACTACCAGAGAACTTAAGAATCATTAATACTGTACAAATCTGTCTTTAACAAGAGCATCTTCTTTTCTTTTCTCTTTTTAAGACAGAGTCTCAATGAGTAGCCCTGGCTGCCTGGCTGGCCTGGAACTCGTTCTGTAGACCAGGCTGGCCTTCAGAATCACAGAAGTCTGCCTGCCTCTGCCCCAGGGTGCTGGGATTACAGGTGTGCCTCACCAAGCCTCATCTTGGTTTATTTAAAACATTAACAATGAGCTTATTGAGAGAAGGCTACATGGCTTATCTTCCTAGGTGCCACCAATCTGGGGCAAATGGTCTGTCTGTTTGATATTAGGAAGTCAAAACCCTTCTGTGCTCTTTATATACAGAAGCCACTCCTAAGGTAGGGGCCCACCCAGGCTGACCTTGCTGGGAATGATTCTACGGTTCATTGGTGCTAGAGAAATCTTGGGAGGCTATTGGGTTCTTCCTATAACCATTGTGCTGACTTCACATCTCAACTTTGCATATAGTATTTTGAGACCCACAGCTGGTGATAGCACCCCAACATAGGGCTTTCTGCATTTATTTTTGGTGGTAGGGACTGATCCCAGGCCTTTGGAGGTGTTGAGTCTATGTTCTATCTGGAGCTACACCCTCAACTTGGGACTTGGGAAGCAAGCTGGAATTTAACTCCCGTTGTGCATCTCCTGCCCCACACCACTCCAGTTCATTCTTCTGAAGCAAGTAATGCTAACTTGGGGAGGAAAAATGAGATAAGTGGGCAGTCATCACAGCTTATACAAACGTTGGATGAAGTCTTGCTGAGTAGCTTCCTCCTGGACCATCAAAACTTATATATGAGCCAGGCGAGGTGGTGTGGTACATGCCTTTAACCTTAGCACTTGGGAGAGAGAGGCAGGCAAGTCCAGCCTGGTCTACATAGTAAGTTCCAGGTCAGCTGGGGCTACAGGGAGACTGTCTCAAAACGAAACAAAATGAAACATAATGAAACAACCCCCCAAACCAAAAAATAACAAGTCTCCCAAACCACAACAATAACAACAAAAACCTATATGTGAGGATCATTTCACTCTCAATGTAGTCATAAATTACTCATCAAACTGACTCCAGCGAGCACCCAGAGCCTGCTGTCTCCTTCACGTCTCTCACCTTCATCATCTTTGGGGCACAGCTCACATGGGTCCCCCCAGCCTTCGCCTGGCATCTTACTGCAGCAGCATTTTGCTTTTGTGGTGTTGAAGGCTTTGGGTACAGAACACTTTCCATTTTCAAAGTTCGTGAAGCAGAAACTCTGGCGGGTATCTAATCAGGAAAGCAAACAGCACAGCTCCTGACTGCTCTTTAAACAGATGGAACAATGTGGCTATGACTCTTCCTGACAACATTTCTCACAGGTAGGGCACAAGACAGGTGAGATCAGCCGTTAACAGACAGGCCTACGAATTCTTAATTGTTCAGTTTCATTTGCCAGTTTAAATTCATCTGGTATAAAATTTTGCTCAATTGTTAAAAGCATCTAGAATATTTGTATAATGTGCTTAGGAAATTTGTCAAATCATGCTCAATCAAGAAATGATTTCACAGTCTCTCATTTTCTTCACTATTATGTAGTATCATTACAGATTACATGGCATATGCCACATAACATATCTAATATTCAGTAAGTTAAATTATGCCAGAAGCAACTTGTAAGTGGGTATATAACCACCTATGCCAGTAACAAAATGAAAATAATAAACCAAGATAACAATTTTTCCTTTAGTATAAAATCCAAAACTATGTAGAAACAGTGATATTAATTAATGTGATTTAAAAGCTGTCCATTTGGGACACTTTTGAGAAATCTTTGTTTAAACTGCAGATGGTGTATTTCCAATAGATATATATTTTGTCATAATAAAGCCTTCACATGATGGTTCACCATCCAGTTAAGAGATGTGTAAAGAGCAATTAAGACAGAGAAGTCACTCCTCAGCTTACCAAAGCATCTCCGTCCATTATCAGACAAGACAAAGCCAGGAGGGCAGATGCACTGGAAACCCCCTGGGGTGTTAGTGCAGGAACCAAAGAGGCAAATGTTGGGATCTTCATCACATTCATTTATATCTGCAGAACAATGGGAGAGGATTAATCAAAACAATATACTGTTCAATAACTGAAAATACCTATTTGTCCATGTTGCAACAATTATCCACTTGATATTTAATAATGGAAAATGAGACATTATGCATTTTGCCAATATATTGTTTTAAAATAAACTATTATTGGTGTAAAAGTCAAAGATTATATCCAACTTCAGTCAACCACATCCCTAAAAATCCCATGCCCACCTCCAGCACCTTGAGCGTGATTACTAGAAGTTGACCTGACAGGACCAACGCCATGTCTTATGTGGATCACAGACACACTATTCCCTTCCCTAGTAACTCTTTCAGCAATCCAAATGGGAAACCTGAGGTGCCCTTCTTTCTCTCTATGGCCTTTTAATGCACAGTCATGTATAGCTGGCCAGTTCACTTCCTCAGTACCTTTAAACCCATCCTGAATTACCACCTGATCATTGCGCATCTCTTAGCTACATCTTTTCTGTTCTCTTCCACCAAGGTTGCCCTTCTCATACATACAGCTGGTTCTACTTGATAATCTGTGCCAATGGAATTGAGACTCAGCTACACCACAACAGTGTCATTTCACAGACCTCAGAATTGCTCTTTAAAGTAAGGATTCCTGCTACCCATTGATTTTCATCATTTTTTTTTTGGTGGGAAATACTTAGATAATGGATTGTTTTATCTAAAAGACTAAATATTAGAACTTCAAACACATAAGAATATGAGTCATGAGGCCAAGCCATGTCGCTTTGGTCCGTGTTGTGCCCTCAGCTCCTACCATGGTGCCTGGCATACCATGTTCTCAACTTATATTTGCAAAATTCTAATAAATGAGCCATATCACATCCCTTCCAAGAATACTCCCCACCCCTGCAATGGCCCCAAATGACAGCAGGACCAAGTTCAGCCTCTGGGCCAGTCACTTCATGTCTCTTTATGTGCTTGTGTGACTCATTTCTAGAGTTTCTCTTCTTCTTTCATTAGTAACTTCTCACCCAAAACTCAGGAGTATCTCTGAGTGTCACCAAGGCTGTGTGGCTGCCGTTTGTAGCAAGTCACATCACAACTGATGCCACCTCATGCTGTGCTTCTACATCTCCAGTACAGGGGTCTCCACACTGCTTTTTTAGGATTTTTCAAAAACAGTTTCATTGACAAAATTATCTATCTAATTAGGCAGTAAGCTTTGTAAAGGTAAAATCTGTAGTTTTGTATTTCTAGACCTTAGAACGATAAGCACACTGACTACTGTGCCTCTGGAATGTAGGAATGCATTTATTTGTGTGTGTACATATAACTACATATGTGTTTGCTTGTGAGTGTGGTCCTGTTAGAATAACCTCATCTGAGAATACTGGCTGACAGACACTTGTTTGAAGAAAATTTTTAGGGTGAAGTAAAGGACTTAAAAACGAATTTTTAGAGGCATACAATAGTTTCATAGTGAACAATGGTTAAAGAAAGGAAATATCCCTGACATTTAGTGAATTGTTAACTAAATCACAGATACAGGTATTTTCACTAAGCTGTTCAGATACAAAGAAGCATAGTGTTTCTTTTGCATGCTGGTGCTTAATAGGCAGCTGCTAAGATTGTTCTACAAAAAGATGGATCATGGGACATAATGAAGAATAAAAATCAAACCTGAAAAACAAAATGATGGTTCAGTGGGAAAAAAAGCATCTATTGAGCAAGTATAAGGAGCTGAGTTTGAATGCATCCCCAGAAACTTCACAGAAAACTGAGTTTGGTCACATGTGTAACCCCACTGTTGTGGGACTGAGACAAGACGATCATTAGGGCTTGTTGCCAGCCAGCCTAGATGCAGGTTCAGGGAGAGACCTTCTCTCAAGGAAATAAGGCAGAGAGCACCTGCACATACATTGTGTGTGCACACAGACACACAGACATACACAGACACACAGACACACAGACACAGACACACACACACACACACACACACACACACACAGAAAAAAAAATCTTCAAAATCCCCCAAACAAAAACCAATCATAGTGGAAAAAGAGGATCATCAGCTTTCAAGGAATGTCATACTAGTTGATTCACTTATGATATCAGTAATACAGCTATGAAAATAATATGCAATTTTATAATGATATACAGAACAGATGCAGGCAGCTCTGTTTAACTTCTTAGGCCTGCATGCATGCAGAGACCAAGATGCAGTGTTCTCACACAGCCTGTACCGATCATCATTATCCAGTACACCTCATGACCTCAGAATGAACATGAATCTCACCGATGCAGTTCTCGCTTTTCACCTCATACCCTGGGGGACAGATGCACCGGAAGGATCCCTCCAAATTCTGACAGGTCCCGGGAGAACAAGAGCCAGGAAGGGCGACACACTCATTAGTATCTTTAGAGAGAAAGAAGACAAAAAGCAGTCCAGACGTGAGACAGTGCCTGGGTTGACTTATCTGCCTGCTGAATAACATTAACATGGGTTCTGCCAGGCCCTCGGATCTACTGGGTCACTCACTATGGACAAGTACACCCTGATATTCTTCTGATATCTTGCATAAGTCTTAGCTAGAAAGCTGCCAATTCTCTTGATTTGTTTCTTCTATCTACTTTTATTGAGGCCTGGGTAGCCTCAAGCACTGTCCCCAATAAAACCACTGCCTATGACACATTCTCAACTGTGGTTTAATACTTGAAATGAAAATGTCCCCAGCACAGGTTATCTTGGTCCTATGCTCTGACGACCAAATGAAATGTGTGTACAATGCACATAGTTTCACAAAATAAAATACCTCAAAGATGACGTACTGTTTAGTTTCTTACCAATACAGTTTTTGGCATCTGTAGTAAGTTCATAGCCCTCATTACACAAGCACTTGAAGGAGCCGATTTCATTAAAACACCGTCCATTTCTGCACACCTGACCGAAAAATGAGCTGCACTCATCTATGTCTGTAAACAGAAAGGAGTCAGCTTTTCAGAGAGCATCTACGTGCATCCCATTTCACTAGCTGAAACTTCGAAGCAGATTTATTGGCGTACATTTGTGAAAAGTCTCCATTACAATTTAATAACAGAGAAAGGACATGTATCTTAAGAACTGAGTCACTAACGAGGTCACATGTATCCTCACTGTTTTCAATGATTGGAGTTCATTTTTTTTGATGTTAATAAACATGAACTTATAGCTAGATAAAATTCGAAGGTTGAAGGCTAAGTTTTCCCTTTTTTTTCCAGTTCAAAAGTTTTTCATTTTGCAGAGGTAAGTGGTCTATGCAGTTGAACTTGATTGAATGATTTGTAGATCCTTTACCTAGAGATAGTGATAGTATTCAAAATAAAGAAGCGAGTATATTAAATACAGAAAAATCAGTTATATTGAAAGCAGTCTAGGATTGCTGACACAATACAGAACTTACAGAACAAGAAGGCAGGAGTGCCGGCTTTCGGCTAAGCCCCAGGCTGATTACAAGTGAGTCATTTCTTATGTTTTCCCAAAACTATATTTTGATTAGAGCAGTGTTGATGTCTCTTGGGTTGCCCTGCTTATATCAGGGTGTGTGTACCTCCGGTCATGGTGAGAGATGCTGAATAAAATGTCCATTTAGCTGCAAAATGTTTCATGATTGCAGATTTTTGAAGTATAAAGAAACCCGACAGGAATGTTAGGTTAAATTAGAAGGTGGGTTTGAACTGTCCTGGTCCTATAAATGGTGGAAAACCTGAATTACTTCCTCATACCCTCCAGCGTCACAACTAAAATTGTATTATGCTGCAAAGTACCCCACAGCACCTGGCTTGTGGTAAACAGGGAACAGTCAAGGGTGTCATTTTTCTTTCTATTTTTCTCCACCTACTTTGGGAATGTCTCCCCCAGCCAGCATTAACTTCCATGTCATATTTGTATGTTAGTGTGGGCCAAAAGCTAGAATTCTGTGCTAAGCACAGGTGTGGTCTGAAGGCCCATCTGGAAACCTAGTCACTGTTTTTATGTGGAAAGGCATCCAGGCATCCAAAGCTGGGGGAAAAGGAAATTTCGAGACGCAGACATGTTTACACATAGAAGACTGCTGGGGCTTGAATATAAATCAAGAATGAACTCATAAAATACCTGAAACAACACTGAAATAATGAGTCTCTTTTCCATCGCACTTAGGGGAAACCCCAAACTACAGATCAGTTCTGGTATGTTTACTAGCATCCCCCTCAATAGACTGATTCAGTGACATGAGGGCTCAAAACAGTACATGTCTTGTGATTATTTAGGGAAATAAAGGACTGTGGTTAACTAGAAAATAGTTGATGATATTATGTATTTTTTTGCACACGTGTGCAATTTGAATGACAGAAGTCATTTTTGTTCTTTGGTTTCATTTTAATTTCATTCAATTTATTTTAATAATGAAAGAGAAGCCAGAAAGAGCTACCTGAAGGACTTACCTAGGCAATCATTATTATGAGTGAGCTCAAACCCAGGGTAGCACAGACAGTTGTAGGATCCAACAGTGTTCTTGCAAGTTCCGTTTCCACATGGATGCCTCTCACACTCATCAACGTCTGTTGAAAAGGAATCCAACGTTTAACTAGAACCCAAGGGTTTTTTACCTTTAACACTTTTTTTCCTCATTACTGAACTACTTGGATTTTCCCAGGGTAGTACTAGGATTAATATTTATTTGAGGAAAATAAGAATATGATAGAGGGGAAAAATCAAAATTAAAAAATTATTGAAGAGAAAATGCACTATTTAATCACTTATAAGTACATACACCACTCAGAATTAGTGTGGGTAAGCATGCCCATGGCGGAGATGCCGCAATGACTAGGTCTTCTTACAATTAACTGTAAGTTAATTGATGTTTTGAACTATAAAGCAATTTGGCAGAGATGATGCAACGAATAGGTTACCTTTCAGTTAATCGTAAACTAACTGGTCTTTTAAAATATTAGAGCAAGTTGTTCTAATAAGCATTATTAATACTTGCCCAGGAATTAACATAATTTCATATAGAAAACATTAGTTCTTTAAATTTTATTAAGTAGTGAAATCCAAATGGGGGTTTATTTAGAATAAGCCTTCCAAAAACCCTGAATAGTTAGCAAGGTCATCCACAGCAAGAGATAAGAGACTCCCTGGCCAGTGAGGCCAGTTCACAGAAGCTCCCTCAAGAAGGGAGCCGCGGAGGGGAGGTCTGAGGGTCTCACTGACGTTTACCATGGAGAAGAAGCATTAAGAATGAATTTCTGAGTCAGAAATCTCACAGAATTTTTTTGGCAAATCATACTCTCTCAGGAAGTAAAGAAGGAGACCCATGTGTAAGCAATCTCCCTTAGAACAAAGCCTGTGATTTCCTTTGCTTAAGCACCGACTAGAAACTTCCCCTGTCCTGTCACTTTTGGGGAAATCCACGGTGGCGAGGTGCCCTTAGGATGCAGCAGATGAGCCAAGACTTTCTGCACATGCTCTGTGTTATGTAGATATGCCACAAATGAAGCGATTCTATGAGGCTGAAATCTGACCTTAATACTCAGCTAGATTGCACTTGGAACACCAAGGGAGTATATGTTCTTCCACACCAAGAACATGCTAATTACAAACGAGTTTTAAATTTGAACTTCCTTCCTCAAATGCAAAACTTAGAGAGGAGACTCTTTGGCAGAGTCACAGCCCACTGCCAACATCAGAGGTAGGCATTGTGCTCAGGCCCAGCATGAAGGCATCCAGCCCATCTGCCTTTGAAAACACTAATCAGCAGCTCAGCATAAGCTTACTGAACACTGTGATCACTTGAATAGCTGTTGTGTCAGCTGTTGAGAATTTCTGAAGAGTCTGGCTATGTTTGCTTGTATAATCACTTGAAGAGATAAGGCACAAAAGATGCACCTAAATCCCAAGCTATCCAATACGTACGTGTATACGCGTGTATTTTAATGCTGTCACTCTTACTACTCCTTTGCATTTCAAAATGCATTCTAGAGGGGAAACGTAATAAGTAAGTGAAGCTGGTTTTGTAGAATATTCCAACTAGTCCTGAACATTTCTGAGTGCACAGCAAGCCATGTGAATGTCTTCTAGAGCAAAAAGCTGAGAATCACTGAACACAAGAGCCTACTATGGTATGCCCCTGCTTACGAATTTTGTACTGTTTGACATGGTAGAGGCCTGGGACTTGCTGAGGCCACATGATGAAGCTATCATCTGGCCTTGAGTTTCAGTCTCACGTCATGCCATGGAATTCCCTCCTTACCCATGCACATGGTCTGGTCTTGAGAAGCCTTAAAACCATTGTTGCAGATGCACTGGTAACTGCCTTGCAGATCAACACACAGTCCATGACTGCAAACATTAGGAATTTCTAAACATTCATTGCGATCTAAAACAGGAAAAAAGAAATAATAAAACACACGTTAGACATATTTTTATTAAGATTCCTTCATTTTTCACAAATGCATTTCTCTGACTTGCTATTAATTATTATAGACAGGCTGAAAGTGAACCGTAACAATAGCCGAATCAAAATAAGTAAGGCGTTTAAGTACTCACGCCTCTTTTTTCAATCATACAATGGTTTTTAGGTTGATTAGGACTTCAAGAATGCTATTTTATCCTAGGAAAGGAAATCCATGGAAGGAACCTCTTTTCTCAATGAAATAATCTAAAAGTTATGGTGAAAGCCCTCATTCACTATAAATAAATAGGTTGAGTTAGACAATCTTACTAAAATTATGCTTCAAAGTATCTGGGTAGGTAAGAAAGCAAGGACTCCTTTGAGCATGTTAATTCAGATTTCTGTGACTGGTGCCTGTTTGGCTCCTGCTTACCTACACAGGCCCCGTTGGGGGAAAGTTTGAAGCCAGCCGCACACTCGCAGCGGTAGCTGCCTGGGCTGTTGATGCAGTCTGCGTTGCGCTGGCACAGATTGTCACCATTGCTGCACTCATCGATGTCTGCAAGAGCAACAGGGTCCCTGTCAACAGTCTTTCAGTACTGCTTTAGGGTCTCAGTCATTTCACCAACTTTCATGCTCAACTCTTAAGAAATTATGGAAGAAATGGTAAAAAAAAACCCCAGAAATCTGTCTGAAAGCCATTCGTGTATGGCAAACTCTTTTGGAATGAACATATATTTCTCAGATTACCTTCACAGACCAGGAGCAAGTCGTTGTAACTGAATCCTGTTGGGCATTCGCAGCGGAAACTGCCAATCTGGTTAATGCAGACACCATTTGCACAAATACCTGGAATCTCTTTACATTCATCAATGTCTGAAATTGAACAGATTTGGTAAAATGGATGTAGTTCTGTTTAATGTATTTACCATATAACCTTTAATAATGTCGTGTGTACCCTCAAATGAAAATACACATTCAGGGTTCAAGAATCAAATGCATCCTGGCATGAATGGTTTTGAGGCTTTATGAAGACAGTTTCTCTAAGAAGCTCTGGAAAAATTAGGGTAGCTGATAAAACATAGTAAGTGATTTTAGCTGCAACATAGCAAATGAATATCTTATAGGATCAAGTCCCACCCCAAAGTTATGTAGGTCACCCTAACAGCTGCTATTTATCTGATAAAGAAAGTCAGATTTCCTTAATTTGTTCTGTTACACACACACACACACACACACACACACACACACACACACTGAGTCAAGTATATTGCTTAATGGAGGCTTGAAATTATGTTGCTTAAATTATGAGAAAAAAAATAAACTTAGCAACTTTTCAGTACATTCAGAGGGAAGTAATTCATAGAAATATAAATTCATAATTTGACCAATAGAAAGGGATCTCAAAAAATACACCAAAAATGTCACTATGCAGTTTCAAAACAGTAACTATAGTTAAAATAAGGTTAAGGGGTTGGAGAATGACTCATAGGGTAAGTGTTTGCTGTGTAAGCATGATGACTTGAGTTTGGATCCCTAACACCCACTTAAAAGTTGGACATGGTGTATGCATCTGTAACTCCCCATGCTGGGACACGGGGTGGGGGTGGGGACAACACGACAGAGACACGTGGATCACTGGAGCCTGCTGGCCAGCCTACCTAGACAAATCAGTGAGCTCTAGGTTTAGTGAGCAACACTGTCTTGAAAAATGAGAGTGTAGAGTGACAGAGGAAGACATCAGGCATCAACCTCCGGTCTCCACAGGCAATTGCAGCCGTGTGAATGCATGGCCACACATACACATGTACACTTACATGAATATTTATGCATATCACATACAAACACATAAAAGGAAATAATTTAGACATGTAATACAACATACATGACAAGGAAGATTCAAAGACACATGAAATCTTGAGAGTCACCTAACTGCCACCACGAGGCTATGCTGATGGAATAATACCATCATTAACTCTTGGTTAGAGTCTATAAGCATAGTTTCTGTCTTAATCAATTAGTATTTTGTGGTGCTGCTGAAATCTCAGACACCCGAGTAAGTCTTTATGACATATATTAATCTATGTTTACATATGTATGTTTATATTAGTAATGAGAACAAACTCACCAACAGCTTTTCCTGTGTGAATGTCAAAGGTGAATCCGGGAATATTTCCACATATAGTTTTAAAGTTAGCTTTAAGAAATA